TTTTTTTTTTATTAAAAAAAATTCAAGCAATTGTCTAAACTACAAAAAGGAGAGATTCTCATATACACACTACTAAGGTGTTATGAGGTCGAACCCGAGACTACTCTTATTTTCCTTCCATTTTTTCTATTTTAACATGAATGTATAATTATTACAAGTTGTTACTTTATACTTAGCTTAGCCCTTTATTCATTGCAGAAGTACTTGGGTATCAATTTGGTGGCGTCTCTCTCACGGCTTCGGTGCTAAGCAATTTACTAATTGACTTATAATTGACTTGAGCTTCCATTTACAAAGAATTCATTGCGAATATCAGAAGATCAGTAAGCAGCTATGGAACATCAAGAGACTAGTGTGGAAAAGGAGGGAGTTGCTGGCAGAGGCTTAATCGATTTGGTCTTCTCTTGGTCTATGGAGGATGTTCTCAACAGAAATCTATACAAAAACCAGGTTTGTCTGCTCTTCTTCGTATCTCGTCATGTAGTAATTACAATGTGATGAGTTATGCATGCTTGTCAATTTTGCTTTGATGTTTGTAAATTGTAATTACCACAGGTGACGAAAATTCCTGATACATTTTCGACCGTGACGAGTTACATGAAAACGTTCATTCCTTTGCTTGTTGAGGAAACACATGCCGATTTACTCTCAAGCATGGAGACTCTGCCACAGGCACCTACTTGTGAAATTCTGGCTGTTAAACCTAAGGGTCATAAAAATGCCAAGGACTTTTTTTATTTTATTACAATAAGGGGCAGTGGAGAAGCCGAAAATTATGAGCCGCAGCCTGGAGATCTTATTGCCTTGACCGATATTAGACCAAAATGCAGTGATCATTTGAACAGCCCGAGAGATTCATATCTCATTGCGTATGTTATTCCAGGCGGCGATGATAGGGTCTTTATACGCTCATCAAAGCCTATAAGTAGAGGAGGAGGAGAAGGAGGAGGAAAACTTTTTGCTGTCTATCTGATCAACATGACAACAAATGTTCGCATATGGAAAGCTTTGATCTCAGAAAAGGCAAACACAAATATAATTAAGAATGTGCTGCAAGTGCAACCCAATTCATCACAGGTAATTTTTTTTCTAGACTCTTTCTTTTCTATAACATCATGCCTGCACATTAATTAGGCCTTGTTCTATGTTTTCAGAATAAGGATGATCAACTCTTAGTGCATTGTTTGCCATGTTTACTTGCTAATTGATTTCCAAAGCTCCGAACAACGCATTTATGTTTCTTTCTTACAGGGTGGGAATTCTTGTTCAATTTGCTTTTCTAAAGAAAAATGCTCCCCTGCCCTTTCTATTAAATGGCCCTCAATGTGCTCTGATCTAAATGATTCTCAAGAAGCTGCAGTTTGGAACTGCATCAGTTTGAGTAAATGCACTCACCAAAATACCATCAAACTAATATGGGGTCCTCCGGGGACTGGAAAAACCAAGACAGTTTCTATGTCGCTCTTTGCCCTCTTGAAGTTGAAGTGCAGAACACTAACATGTGCTCCAACGAATGTCGCCGTGTTAGAAGTGACAGCGAGACTCCTGGGATTGATTAATCAGTCTCTTGATTATGGAAAGTATGGACTTGGAGATATAATTCTATTTGGGAATGGGGAGCGAATGAAGATTGATAATTTTGATGACCTTGTTGAGGTATTTCTTGATTATCGTATTGAAATTCTGGCC